ACTTGCATTATTTTAATGTAACGAAGCTGGAATGTTTTGGTGTATATTTCAATGAAATTTACTGTTCGAAGAAAGATCATATATATACCATATATATATATATATTAAATGTATATAATATATATATATATATTATATAATGTATAATGTTTATACATATATAAGCGATCTTTCTTCTGGATCTTTTCACAAATTATTATTTAATATTTAAATAACAAATTCAATATATGAAAAAAGCGTTAAAAGCTCACATTAACTTTCCCTGAATGTATTACATCAGACAATCACATTAGTCAAAGTCACTACGATTAACGCACAGAGTATAAAAGTTAGTTAAATATGATAATCGTCGTTCATAGTCCAAGCAAATGACGGTTTTAGAGCAAAGACAGTTTCTTAGGTAATTAGAGCTGGAGTGTAAAGCTCTTCGAGTTTCGGTACTTCAGGTATTGGATCTCGCCAATATGCAAAATTACTGAATTCATCAGTTGCATCTTCTCGCCATGCTGGAAATACTTGATCGACGATGAAGCTCATGTTCGAATATCTGTAATCAGAGAATAAACAAAAATTGCAGAGCACTATCAAAACAAGTATCCTTGTGCCGTCAGTATGGCTGAAAAATGAATGTTTAATTGCCATCTATAATAACTCATTTATTTAAAATGAATTAATATGTTGAATACAAAAAAGTATAAATTTTATCAATCTCAATTTTTTAAACATATTCTGTTAATATATGAAATAAATTTGTACCAATGTGTGTACACATATATGTATACACATTAAAGTTGGATTAGAGTGTAAAGTTCATACAACATGAGAAATCCAGATTAGATTAATGAGAAACATATCAATTATGAGTAGAAAAACTATACGGATATGAAAATCGTAATCGTACAAATTATGATCAATTATAGAAAAAAAAATCAATATAAATAATAAAAAAAAAACGTATTTATATAGTTTACAAATTATAATTATTTTAATTTATAATAGTTTTATAAGTATTATTAATATCATTAATGTTTGAATGGCAGAATCAGTTTATACAAGAGCGATCATGAAGTGCTTGGTTGAAAAATTATGAGCGATAAGCAAATAAAAAATAAAATGAATTAGACAGGCGCGATGAATATTTTTCCTTCACTTATACATTCACAATAATATCTGAAAACGGTTATAGGTGACAAATTGCATTAATATACCATCTCTTCTTCAATGCTGTCCAAAACAAGTGGCAAATGTATCCCCAATGATGAGATGTTAGAATGGATTTAAATCAAAGCATATCAAGCGATGATAAAAAAGCAAATGTGTACACAAAACAAGTGCTTACCCTATAAATCATAAGAAGATAGGTAGGAGTTGTCGCGCACAACCAAATATATATCCCAAAATATAAGCATATCAAATTGTGGTTATATGTAACATATGTAATTTAAATATTTATAATTGGAAAAGAGTTTCCCTGATTGTCTGTTATATCACTCGTGTGCTCTCACACATATATAAAATGTTTTAATTTTGTACTATATCAGTTATCACGAAATGTAGCGCAATTATGTATGGCAATGTCCCAAGCATAATTCAACGATGTCGGATATGCTATTGGCACATTAATATATAATACTTTAATACAATTAATGTAATTAATACATTTATTAAAATTTATGGTTGTGCTATCAGTAGACATTTGGTATAGGTTGTGGCGGGAACACGTCATTGACGATATTGCACTGACGCGCATAACTGTAATCACAGAAATATCCGACCTATGAATACCCTCTGAAAATTTGCATTTCTATTTATTTTTCAACCAATAACTTCATTTTTGACGCTCAAATCCTTTCACAGTTTAATAGAAAAGGCGGCATCCAGTTTGTTAACAATTTTAAACTGTTAGTATATTTAAAAGAATATAATCTTGATCATAAAAGCTGTTAGTAAGTATTAAACATAAAAATTAATTAAGACAAGCAATAATATTAAATGTTATATAGACATACAATACAAATTGTATTTAGCTGTTATTAGTTGCATATTTCATCTGGAAATAATACGATTGCTTTAAGATTAATACACTTATATTGATCTAAAATTTACAGCATATGACATTTTTTTCTGTTAAATTTCTTGCGTTTTAATAAATTATTAGAAATTCTATGTTCGATGCAATTCTAATAATTTACTAAGGCACGAGCAATTCAGTAAGAAAAAATGTATCGCGTGCCGTAGGCTTAGTATACAGTATAGCACAAAGTATAGCATAAAAAAAAAATCGTATAATTAATAGGAAGAAAAATGCTATAAATTACAAGATGTTATGTGTGTTAAAAGTATAAAAAGATAAAATAGTGCGATTAAGTTATTATCACAATACAATCAAATAGACATATATCTTAAATTTTTAATATTCCTCCACCAAAGAAATATTAATTTAATAAACGATACAATAATATGACGTAATACTTACGAAGATTGGAATGTCTGTGTCAATTCGTGCTTCAATTCTCCTCGGTAATTTATGGTAAAGATCCGCATTATAGGAATGCCTACTGCTCGATACGCCCATACGTCCTGTACGTATAAAACATTTTCTACGTAGTAAATTTACTAATACATTTTGATAAAAAGTTTATCATTTATTTCAAGTTAATTAATCAATAAATAAGATTTATAGTTCATACATTTATACGATTTCCATATCCAGCATAAAATGGCTCGGATCCTTCAGGAAATAATGCTTGAATGTCTCTCAGACAGGATATCTTGAATTCTTCCGGTTTCTTTTCTATCACCTCGCGATGAAATGCTAGGATTAAACTTGTAGGATTCAAAAGTAACGGGCCTTCTGGCAGCGTCAAATCGCCTTGTCTCAAATTTCTCAGATATTCCCGAGTTCCTCCAGCCTGACCGATTGCTCGTGCTGAGAGGTATAGGAGTTTGTAGCCATTATTTTTTATTTTCGTAAATAGTTGAGCGACTCCGGATTGAGCCCAATCCTTGCCTACTATTGGTAGGATATGACCCAGCACATCCGATTTCGTAATGGTACCGTCAATATCAGAAATAACGATTTTATCATCCCATTTCCACTTGTAGATGTGACATTTGCAACGTTTCGTACCCTGGTAAGCGGTAGTTACACTAAAGACCACTTCGTTAGCGCCATCCTTTAGATCAAGACTCGCCTGTAAAGAAATCAAACCTCAATCGTTTTTTCTTCATACTTTATGCAATTGTGAAAATACTTACTATCTGTTCGGACGATAGTCGCAGAGTTTTACGATATTTTTCCGTCGACTCGTAATACGGTCTTCTTTCTACGGGTATTTTAACACCCGTTGGTTCGTTGTGGTTACTGTCAGAATCCTCACCACCGCTATATCCTTCACCTTCTCCTTCACGCGTTTTCTCAGTCTTTGTCAGTGTAGTTTCATTCGATGCAGTTGGCAATCTTGTACAAGAGATTATTTCCATTATCTCCGTTGAGCTTGACGAATCTGTGTTTTGCTCAGTCTTCATTTCCCTGGAAAAATTAATTTATAAAATTAAAGAATGTAAAAAATCAGATATAAAAAAAAAGGTCGACAGGGAATTTACCTGTTAGCCGAAGCTAATTCATCGCTTGTCACAGCCTTAACTTCTACAGACTGATCAGGTGTCTGCATAGCAATTTCGTCGTCTACAATAAATAAAAAGAAGTCATATTTTAATATAATTTAATTTAAAAATAAACAGTTATATTTGTAAAATAGGAAGTTTTTGTTAAGATAAAAAATTTGGGAAATCTTACTTTGACTAGTGTCTTGCGGTTTTTTAGGAGGTTGCGTGGAACGCCTCCAAGAAAACCATGAACTATATCCACTACGACTCTCGGGCTTATCGCTGCTCTGTCGCTTTTTATCTTCATGCACCGGCAACGACATATACAGATTTTCGATTACGCTTTGCGGTAAATGTCTTTGAAAAACGACATAAGTCAACACTATCGGACAAGCTGTAATCCAATTATAGAATTTCCCGTTTATTTTTACAACCAGATTCGGATTCTCGTATAGTTTTGGATCGGCACAGATGTCTTCAAAGTGTAATAAATTTTCGTTAAAAGTCTCCTTGGACGGTCCATTTTCACTGTCCAAACCACCGCACAGAGATAGACTTATGTCTATACTATTATCGAACAGAGGATGCTTTGGTTCCTCAAAATCGCTATCTAAGGACTTTGGTCCACCAATAGCTCCCTCAACACTGTTGGGGCTCTGAGGTAAACTTGGTCCATTACCCGATTCTGTATCCTCTTCATCTACCGTTTTTCCATCTGCAATAAAATACATATTATATTTTCTTACGCAAAATGTGAAAAACAATATCACCAAATAACACACAATCAAAGAAGAGTACACATTTTCGAGGTTTTGCCGACCACTCGGGGATCGTTTCATTTGTATGTTTTCTTATGTATTTTTCTTCGTAGAAACCGAAAGTAATCATTATAATAATGTCAGATTTAAGAAAAAATTGATACATTGAGATAAAATCCTTATTTGCATCATTATGGAATTACTCATTATACTGTTTGTCATCTCGATACCGCCACTCCGACGTCGCGTGTCTGTCATAAGCTGTACACGTTAGGACTTGAATAGATGAGTGACTTTGTGGCGCAAAAAAAAAAGCGACGTATGGTATTCATAGACCATATATATATGTAAATATATATATATATATATATATATATAAATATGTAAATAGGAAATGTAACTTTACTATTGTCGGTCCCAAGTTCGAATAAAAAAAAGGAGAGCATCTTGTCATTTATCATTGTTTTTTTTTTTTAATAAGAGAACTTTTTTGTTGCCAATTATCAATATATTACAGTCGATATAAATCGAATCTAAACATACAAAATGATTCATAAAGATTAGTTAGAAAGCAATAATTGAGATGTATTATAATATTTTCATATTTTTCATAAAATTATTAATTTTTTTGTAACAAATGTTCTAATAAGAAATATAATCTAATTAACGTTTTGTGGTACAATAGTACTCGCATTTGATCCAATTTGGAATTAATTTATAAATCATTGAGGCATAATAGTGATTTCATAACGATGCGAATAAGGATTTTATTCATTTTATTTTAATGTATCAATTTTTTCTTAAGTCTGGTGTTATTATAATGATTATTTTTGGTTTCTACGAACAAAAATATATAAAAAAACATACAAATAAAACCCCGAGTGGTCGGCAAAATCTCGAAAATTTATACCCTCCTTTAAATAAGTAAAACAATGAAAATTAAACTTTACACAGTGCATACAACTTTATTAGTTATTTATCTTACTTATTATACTAAAAGGTTGAAAATAAATTCTTTTATTTCCGAAAAGTAAAAGGACAGATTAAATTATTTAAAATATTTACGTTGAATAGTTTAGGATATTTTATTAAAAAAAAATAAGAATTACAAAAAAATGCAAAAACGCTTTTTATTTAACAATTATGCTACAAAATTCAGAAGAAATGTATTTATTATTTACTGACGTGTTAGTTTCGATGCACTTAACATGCATTTGACATGCAGAAGCAAAAGCTAGTTAACCATATACCTTTAACTGTCGGACCTCGATGCGAGGAGGGAAAGTACAAAGCCGCAACTTCGGGGTCCAGTTCGTCGGCATTAAGATCGCTAAGGTAAATTCCTTCTGATTCCGGATTGTGTCTTACGCGAGAAGTCTTCTTCATAAAGGAGAACATGCCACTGAGCATAGATCGTTGTGCATCTTCTGTGCCATTAAAAAAGCGAATGGTTAGCGAACAGTTAGTGATGAAGCATTCAAGTTAGTTTCTTTTCGTGGAAAAAAAGATTGAGAATTTTACAACACTGACTTGTTATAATTTTGTATATCAGAATCAGGCATATTAATTTCTTGAAACATGAATGATCGATAAGAGTAGCATTTTCCATTTAGAACCATTCCATTTAGAAATATAACGAAATGTTAATCATGAATAGAGTATAGTTTAACATGTTGAATATAAATAGAAATAATGAAATCATATACTAACTGTTTGGCTGATTAGCAGTTGCCAAAGAACTCAACGAATTCCTATGAGACATGTGCGCCGGCTCTGGAGGTGGACTAGGTAGTTCACCCCATCTCCAACTCTGCTGATGACCCTTGTCATCTTCTCTCTCGCTGCCCTCTTGCGTAATTTTACGTACTTCAAATTCTGTGTCCGATTGAACAGGCGAACATGGTCTAGAGTCCTTATTTCTTTCGAACATATTATAGCACATTAATAAATATACATATATTAATGTATTAATAATTAAATAAAAAATATAAATTACTTAGTAACTTCTGAGTCACTGAAGAAATGAAAATCGGTTTCAGGTCGTTTCTCAATTGCGTCCTGAGAAGATGTCATTGATTCCACAGTGATATTCTTCTTTTCATCCTCTGCTATTGGAGTGGGGCCCTTAAATATCTTTAGTCAATAACTATGCCAAAATATAACAGTAAGAAGTACAATGCTTATTAAAATAATGTCATTTACCATTTCGTTAATTGACTCCTCGGTAAAAACTGCATCAATCTCGCTTAATTCTGTCTGACTGCTATTGCCATTACTGGTTTTCCTCTGCGAGCCTTTCTTCTTCATAATACTCTTCCTCTTACGTTTTCTCTTAGTCGAATTGTTACTCTTGCCCTCATCAATGTTCTCTTCCTTCGAATTCTTCTTGCCCGAAGACGAGTTAGATTCGTCACTAGATTTTTCCTTATTGCTAGTTTGAGGGTCATCCGTAATTGGCCTAAAATCATTCTTTACTACACTTATCTTACGAATTCTTTCGGACGAAGTAACAGCTACAAAAGATTTCGGGCAAGAAATCGTTGATTTCGGCTGCTCATCACTGATAGCATCCATATCAAAGATCTCCTCGTCATCGTTCTTGCCGTGTTTCTCTTCCCATTTTTCCTCTTTTTCCTTCCAGTCACTCAGTAAAGCTTTCTCGAAATTTTGTCTTTGCTCGATCGAAAGCTCTGGGAAATTCTCCTTAAACAATTTCTCTTTGTCTTCTGTCTTCAAAGCAGAATACTGTTCCCTGATCATCTGCTGCTTCTGCTCTGGAGATATGATGCCGAAGCTTTCCTTGAACATCTCGTCTCGCTCTTCTACAGTCAGTGAAGCAATCTGAAGCCATTTCTCACGATGTTCTGCAGGAAGATCTGAGAATTGTTCAATCAGAAATTTCTCCCGTTCATCAGGCGGCAAGGCAGACATCTGCTCCCATTTTTCTCGCTCTATGGAAAGAACTGAGTCTATAAGAATCTTCTCTCTTTGTTCTTGAGGTAGATCTGACAACAAATTAAATTTCGGCGGCGGAAAGCAATTGTCGGGTATGGGCGAACAGGCCAAATGCGGTGGGATTTCGGTGTCTGTCGGAGATCCATTTGAGCTAACTTCTTCTACAAAGAACGCTTCGCCAGAATCTCCAAGTTTCATATGAATTTCCCTGGGTTCTCCATTTATCTCAATATCCACCTGTGGAAACATTTCTTGTATAATATGCAGCAAGCTGCAATCTTTCGGATCATATGTATGTTATAAATAGGTACATATAAAAAATTTAACTTTTTATACAATATTCATTTCTTATTTTAATATAATAAAATTTAAAATACTTTTTTCAAAAGTAAAATATGTAAAATTTTCTTTTAAAAGAATTATTTTTTAATAACAAATTATTACATACAATAAATTATATTTAAAAAAATTTAATTATAATATATTTCAATAATTACCTAAAATATTGATTGATACAACAATTTTTTTTTCAAATAAATATAATGACGTATAAAAAAAATTATTTTTTAATATACTTTTATCTTATTTTAATATGAAATCAAAATTAAATTACTTTTTTTTACGAGCGAAATATTTTTTATAAAAAGTAGTTTTAAAAATACAAGTGAAAAAATATTTTAATAAAAACAAAAAAAATTTTTTTAATAACTGATTATTACATGTAGCAAACTATATTTAAAAAAATATTCTATTACAAGAAATAATGTTGCCAGAGTATCATAATCAAATATTTCAATAAATTGATATAATATAACTGATCGATACAATAATTCTTTTCAAACGACGCAACAAAGGTCAGCCTCTAATCGTTTATTCTCGCACTCATTCGCGTAGAGATAAATTATTGATAATAGACGCAAATGCGGGGGACTTACCACTTTTGCTCTGGAACGAAGTACGCCGAGTTTGCCGAAACGGACGTGGAAGGGCGAGCACGTGAAGGAGCCGTCCGGTTGTTCGATGACGATGACATCGATTGCGCCAGTGAGCGTTGCGGCGTTGATCTCGTTGTAGAAGAGACGGAAGTTGCTGATGATCTTGGCGATATAGTTCATGCTGTACATGTCCCAAGCCCGCGCACCTAACGCGACACAAATTTAGCCAAGTGTTGTTCGAAATTCGCGGTGCGGTGAAAAGGTAAAGTATAGAGGTGTTCGCGGTTGTCTTCGATTCGAAGGTCTCTCACCGAGAGAAAGAGCTAAGAAATGCAAAGAGTCGCGAAGAGGATCGAGATTATTAAGTGTTGCTCGACGGATCTATCAATTTGGAACGACTCGTTGACTCCGATCTCCTCGAACTCAACGACGCACCGTCACTGATAAAAAAAAAACGCCGCGTTTCGCGCGAGTCGCCAACGACGCTGTCACAGCTTGACGGCGAGCTGTCAAGAACACCTGTCCCACCGTATCACGAGCGCGCTTCTCGGTACCGTGACGCGGACGCGAGTACAAGTGGAGACAAGTTCTGGCGAGAGCTCGGCTCGACGAAAGCGAGACGGAAGAAAGCGGATGAGCGCGACGCCGACGAACTAGGCGACTCGAGAAACGGAGGACAAAGTCTTTCTCTCCGCGAATCCTTTGTTCCCCCGTCGAACGAGCGTTGACAAGTGTAGTAGATCTGACACACCAGTGACACCGCCAGCAGACGGTAGTCCGAACTGACGTTGCGCGCTGTCACGTGTCCCAACCGGGCCAATGAGCGCGGCGGCTGCGCCGGCGGTCGATACGGCGACGTGCCACGTGATCAGCCGGCGACGTTAGCGCGCGTTTTCGAACGCGCCTAGCGCACGCACGGCACGGGAGGATCGCCTGGAACAAAGAAACGTGTGACATTAACCGTCCACCTGTGCGCTTGCCCGTCTGCACGGCATCGATTATTTCTCGTCTCGACCGCGAGCGGCCTCCGCCATTGACGAGGCCAATTTCCAACATACCTCGAGTATATCGAATTGAGGTGTCGTTTTATACGTCGTTTGTCACACTATACCACGAGATTATCTCCGCCTGTCGGCGATCGATTCTTGATCTTGCACGAAAACAATCGCTCGGAGCAAAAGGCGACTAAATTCTGTAAACAGATTTTACAGGGGTTTGAATTTTAATCTTTTCAAGAATTAAGATCACGGTCTCGGAAGAAAGCCATCCGTTATAATCTCTTACGGAAATCCAATTTAATATTGGCCAATTTAACTTTCCTAATCCGACGTTTATTGAAACTATTCAATTAAAAATTTCTTTTCAAAATCGTCAAATAATTCGATTTTCTTTATGTTATACGCGTCTGCAATTTAGATCATTCTTGTTAAACTATTTATCGGTCCTTATTTTAAGACCGTCTTAATTAATATTTAATTAATTAATATCTAAATAATTAAGGTGCTAATACAGTCCTCTGATTGGCTTATGACATTTTGTACTTAAGACAATCTCTCAATTTAAGAACTGATTCTTTAAATATAAAATTCGAGTGTGAATATTAATCTATTAATATCAGCCTTATTAGGCCGGTATTTAAGTCCGCCTTAAGTACAGTCTTAAGTCACAAACCAATCAGAGACCAGTATTCATAGATCTTATATTTAGAATCGTCTTAAATTCAGTCTTGAGGTATCACGAACCAATCAGAGGACCGCATTAGTGCGTTTTAAGACATTATTTAAAACAATCTTGTAATAAGAACCGACTATAAATACCGGCCAGAGGGCCATATTATAGTGTCTTAAAACATTACTTAAAACGTCCTAAGATAAGAACGGAATATGAATACCAGCCTTAGAACGGTATTCACAGTCACTTCTTAAGACTATTAAATATAATCTTAAAATGCCAATTATAAAGTATTAGCATCTTAAAATGTTACTTAAGACGGTTTTAAGTTAAGAACAAACTATGAAAACTAAGCATAACATTCATTCTCTTTATACGTTTTTTATATGAATTATGCCATTTTGGTTCTTTGAAATTAATTAATGCCTTGTAATTAACATAAATAAATTAATTAAATGGCTCTTTTAGATTCAACGTCGAAAATAATATTACAGATTTTAATATTAGCGCGCGCGCGCTTCATAGAATTAATATTAAAAAGTAATAAATACTTATTTTGAGCATTAAAAGCACTGAACCACTCAAAATAAGTAATTACATACTACATATCTTTCAGTATTAAACTTTTGTTACGCAGTGTTTACAATATAGCAACAAGTAAGCCCCTTAAGCTTACTTATTTCTTATACGATATTATGTAGCATTACTGCCATTCGTTTCATTGGATCTGCCCCGCGGCCGCGGAAATTTCATTGTTTGTTTTTGCATAAAAATATCGGGCGAAAAATGACGAAGAACGATAACGTGACGCATTCAACGAAGCCCGGTAACGACAAAGCGAAGTTCACGGAAACCTACTGCTCGAACCGAGCAGGCTTGCGCCATTAATGGCCATTAGGTAAGACCATAAGTTATTTCGGTCGTGCCAGACGAAGGCAATCTCATCGGACAGAAGTCAAGAAATAATCAAGCGGAAGTAGCAATGATCGATATAATCGTGAGATATTTTGGTCATGCCCGACGAGTCGCTCTCATTCGAATATAAGTTTAGAACACGCGAAAGCATTTTTAAAGTAGCAACTGAATCTTATCTTAGATATTAAGCTTTGTCTATAATGCTTGAAATTGTTTCGAGACCTCGAACGATTTCTACAAAGAAAGAATTATTTTGATGAAGTATCTTAAAATTTAGTTAAATCTGAAAATAATTTTGTTAGAGGCCATCAAAATAATATGTTATTACGTGGGAAATTCTCAAGCATGATGAGCAATGCTGTAAAAAATTTTGATATTCTAACAATCTGTAGTCAAGAGTTCTATATAATTATCTTGATGGTCCAATAAAATTATTTTCAAATCTGTATCTAGCTGGATTTTTAGACATTTTAGTCAATATGAACCTTTGGAATAATATCGTGGACACAAGGCTCTACATTAAGCAAAATTGTCAATTATTCTTTTCAATCTCGGTCTCATAGGAAGAAAAGAAGTAAAATCGTGTGAAAGATTCATATAAAAAACATGATATTTTGTATTTGCTGTGTGATTGAAATTTTGGAACTTTGTTGTACTAAATAATTGAAAAATAGAACTAACTAATTGAAGAAATTATTCCGGAAAATATAAAGCTTGTTCTCTTTAGCTAAACTTTTTTCGTAAAGAAAAAATAGTTTTCTTATGCTACATTAAAAAATCATAAAAACTGTTTTTTTAATTAAAATTCTGAAAAAAATAGAATACATTTTTTACATACATGTTTAAAATGTCTAATGTCTATATCAAATATCTTTTTCTTTATATATTTAAATATTTTTGCATTGTTGTAGTGCATAATACATTGATAACGTCTTTTCAAAACTGAATCTAAGTCTCATATATCCATGGCCATCATTATTCAATTATTGTACTATATTTTGATTGTTTGCGATATCTTTATGCAGAAAACGTTTTGATAAATGCAGAAACTGGAACAATATGTTGTCAAATACCTAAAGAAAATATTTGATAAAAAAATTTCAGTGTCAGGTAAAAATTGGTATTTATTGAGTTTTTTACTCAAAAGTTTTTAGTTTTTTACTTATAATTTTTTTTATCTCTAATCGTTCTCTAATATGGAGAGAAAAGGAGGAAAGATGAATCGTCCAATCCAATAAAAATGTATAATTGAAAAAGAAACAGGTCTTATCTCTCACACATCTTTATTAATCAGAACGAAGGCAGCCATATTGAGTTATTCGAAGCACCGATAAACATGATCTTTTTATTATTATGCTATGTCTGTCATCTTCGTCTAATCAAAGATAATTTTATTAGCCATAGATCGTTACATGAAATGCTGATCGTTGGACTTTAATTCTGAAGTCACGTAAGTCGAATTGTATATATATTTATACAATATCATGAGACAGCATATAGATATCGTATGATTTCTTTCCACAACAGTTTCTTTCTGTCACTGTAGACGCGAGGATGCTACGTTTTCTTTTCACGCAGACCCGATATGAATGACACAGCAGACTGCATGGCGGCCTACTTGAAGGAAACACGAAGCGTCACAGTAACTCGATATAATTAAAAATAGCGCAAATCTGCAGAAGATCAGAAATATATAAACGAACGTCTGCAATGCTGTAATCTCTCTCTTTCTCTCTCTCACCTAGATTATTTTAGAAGAATTTATGTTCTTATTTTTCGTAGATTACTTTTCTAAATTCTGTTTTGAGAATGTTATTTTATTCTCGTCGCATATACATATAATAAAGACACTGACTCATTCTTGCTACAAACAAATATTAAAAAATGAATAGTATTATTAATATTATTAGATTGAAGATATTATTCCATTCTTGCAATAGAAAAAATATTAATAAATAATATTATTGATAGAATGTCTTATAAGCTAATTTTAATAAATATTTATGTTATGCATATATTGAAGATACTATTCTCTATCATTGTCATAAGAAAATATTAAATAATGAATTACAACGAAATATTACCTATTAAGAATTAAAGTAATTTTATGAAATTTAGATTATGCCATAATTGCCATAAAAGATATTCGATTCGCGTCACTGAAAAAATATTGAAAGATTTATAACAACAAAATGTTTTATTTATATTAAACACAGCCAATTTGAATTAATTCGCATTCGGATTACGCACATTTTTATGTTAAAGAATACTGCAAAAATTTCAGCATGCGATTTTTTATTCAATCAAAAATATAATGAAAGATAATACTAATTGACTCGTATGATTTAAAAATCTCAGAAAGTGTAATGCCTAATCGAGTCTTGTAAACAGGATGTTAGTGTTTATTATAATTGTGTGAATTTATATACCGCGTATGTAGTCCCCCCCGCGACGCTGATGCTACAGGCATCGAAATTTGTTAAATTGATTGCCAATTTAACTAAAATGATATTACTGCGGTAGTGAGTATGTATGCGTCAATGCTGAAAATCTATCAGCGTCGCGGGGGTGGGGGGGGGACTACATACGCGGTATATAAATTTACACAATTATAATAAACACTAACATCCTGTTTACAAGACTCGATTAGGCATTACACTTTCTGAGATTTTCAATCAAAAATGTTTTTATAAATATTAATGTCTATTTATTTGTCATTTATTAAAGAGTTTCATTTCAAGAGAAAGGGAGAGAAAATTAAAATTAATATTGAAATTAATTATTCAGATTTTTTTAGATTATGTTTAAAAATTTATCGCGTTGCAATTTGCCGTGAATTAATGTTTAGAAATGATCGTATCCTTAAAGAATATAAGTAAAAAGAGAATGCCAGCACTTTGTATTCACTTGGCCGCTATCTGATTGTCGAGCCAAGCGTGGGCGGCGATGTGCGCGCAATGCAAAAATCATGAATGTTGTACTTTGTCCGCCGACACAAGTTGCATGTAGTCTAACATTGTCAAGGTTTAATGGCGGCACTGTTTATTCTTTTTTGTGCAGCTTTCGCGATCGTGTGTGAATGCGTGCACGTGTATATGCGTATGAGGGGACAATTGTTGGGCACAATTGTTAAGGCCTCTCACGACGCAGACAATGCGTCGGTCCAGATGTTTACAGATCGTATAGTGGGCCGTAAATTAAAAAAGAGATCTTAATATTCATTGAGTAACTATTAACATATGAATATCTGCTTATATTTCTTACTGCGTAATGATTATTATTTTTTACGTGTTTTACTGATAAAAACTGATAATAGTCAACCAATTAAGTCTTATCAGAGCGGTTTGTTTTTGCATTTCATGTGAATCATCCTACTTATAGTCGACCATTTTTTTCGCGATTTTTGACAGCTATGATTTGACTCGCGGTCATTATAGCTACGTAATTATTGCATACGTTCGTAATAAACAGCAAATTAGAGGTTGCTAAAATCTCATTCAGATCCGAACACTTCAGTGTTCATTAAAGTAAAGGTCACACATAAAATTTTCGTATAACACGCAACAAAGAAAATGTGATGAGGAAGAAAAATGACTTGTCGCCAGCGACAATTCGCGCGAGAACAATAGTTTTTATTGCAAAGCAAGAGCCCCGAATAGTATCTTTAACTAGCGAATAACGACGCAAATATTTCGATCATTTTCCTGGGACTCTTGCGTAAAAAAGAAGTTTACACGCGAGTGAAACGTATAACGACGGAACCGACTTGCGCTCGCAGCCTGCAAATTATTTTACCATCTGCGTCGCTCTTTACGAAAATACATCTTTTTATACTCTCTTTGCGATTTTCGCCACCAAGTCTGTATAAAATTTAAATTACATTCATCTGGAGCGAGAACGTTTCTCGTTTGATATTTGCATATCTAAACGATTGCTTGTTATTCACTCAGATCTCAAGGATTCTGTACTACATTTTGCGCTACATTTTATTCTAATTTTAAACTGTTTTTAAAGATATTGAAATCTAATCTGCGAAAAAATAGTAAACAAGCTCCCGTACAGAAATCCAATTTATAATGCTGAATAATAATTTAATACTGAAAATTTCATATTTTAAGTATTACGAAAAAAAATTTTGCTAAAGTATTTAAAAATTTATATAGATCTGAAAATAATTTTGTGGAACCATCAAAATAATTATGTAAGATGCTTAAGGTAGCTGCCAGAAATTATTAGAAATTATTGTCAAAATTTTTACATTGCGCATCATGTTTAAATAGGACGATCTACTATATAATTATTTTAATGATTAATGAAATTATTATTTCGTGACTACAGTAATATGCATTTAAACATATTGACTGAGTAAAAAAGTTTCAGAAGTTCTCAACGAATCATATTTTTTACAATTGTCGCTGTTTTTATTGAGTAATTATTGAGTAATATGATAATTCAACTACATTATTCCTATCAGATAATTAAATATACAGGATGTTAAAAAAACTATTCAGCATTTATTATATATGGTAGATAGTATACTAAAAAAATAACCGGAATTTATTCATAAAAAGAAAAGTACATGTTTATTCTTCAAAATTCAAGTTGTCCCCTTCAAAGTAGTCCCCGTCGGCTGCGATGCACTTGTGCCAGCGTTTGATCCACCCCTCGAAGCTTTTCTGGAAGTCGGTTTTTGGTATAGCCATTAGTGCCTCCAGCGATTTTAGCTTTATTGCCTCCACACTCTCAAAACGAGTTCCTCGTAGTGGTTTTTTGAGTCGATCGAATAGGAAGAAGTCACATGGTGCCAGATCAGGTGAATTGGGCGGTTGTTGAATGGTATTTGTGTTGTTTTTGACGAGAAACTCACGAATAATCAACGCATTTATATGAGATGGCGCATTATCGTCATGGAGAATCCACGAGTTGTTCCCCCACAAAGCAGGTCTTTTTTTGCGGATAGCTTCGCGTAACCGTTTCATAACTCCTAGGTGATATTCCTTGTTGACTGTCTGGCCTTTTGGGAGGAATTCATGATGAACGACACCATTGTAATCAATGAAAACAGTAAGCATGACTTTTTTCTTTGATTGAAATCGACGTCGTTTTTTGGGTCTTGGCTCATCTTTAGCTCGCCATTCACTTGATTGATGTTGTGTTTGCGTGTCGTACTCATACACCCACGTCTCGTCACCTGTAATTATGCGTTGGATGACTGTTGGGTCGGAATCGACCATGGAAACCATCTCTTTTGAAATTTCAGCGCGATGCAATTTTTGCACGAAATTCAGTTCTTTTGGCACCAATCTCGCAGTGACTCGACTCAGACCCAAATCCTCACGCAAAATGCTCTGAACGGATCCGAATGATATGTTGGTGGTCTCAGCTATCTCCCTTATCGTCAATTTGCGATTTTCGATCAACAATTGTCGGATTTCATCGACGTTTTCATCAGTTTTCGATGTCGATGGCCTCCCAGGACGAGCATCGTCCTCAACAGCCTCACGACCACTTTTGAAGCGTTCATACCACTGGTACACCTGTGTCTTCGATAGAGTATCGTCACCATAACACTTTTGTAACATTTTTAATGTGTCGAAACACTTAATTTCATTTTTACAGCAAAATTTAATGCAAGTACGTTGTTCAAGTTTTAAATCCATTGTAAAAATCGCAGTGCTGCCAACGTGACACAAACAACAGAATTCAAAACCGATAAGCCCGCGAGGTTTAAATTACAAATTCCGGTTATTTTTTGATCATGGTAGTACACACTATTAAGTAAAAAATTTTAGTGAACGTAGGTCGAAATTTCAACCGTTTGAAGCGTTGTTAAAAGATATAAACATTTTATATATTTTATATGTATATTATTTAGTTTTATATAACTGATTTATTAGCTTCTACGTGTCGTATACGACGTAAAAACTGATCTCAGTTTATAAACCTTGTTTTCAATGTTCCGATTCAATTTCCATACGCTTTATAATGAAAAATTTCACTGGGAATCAGCAAGTTAACATCAATCAGCCATTACGATTGGATGGGCATTATGGAAGATTATCTCATTGGATCTATAATTCTCCCAAATAGGCTATCAGTGCTACTTATCTCAATTTCTCTCTTTTCACGTCGTATGCAACATAAGAAGAGGCAATAAAGTCAATTATGATACTATACATACAAAAATTATATCTCAGGAACATTGAGCTTTCGAGTTTACTAACAATAAGCATTATACGTTCACTAAGGCCTTTTTACTCAGTATGGAGTATACTGTATCTACCACATAAATGTATTTTTTAATACCTTGTATGTGAACTCTGTAAATTACATTTAAATTAAAATAAAATTGTTACATCGTCAGAGATTAGAATGAGAGTAAGTATCTTTGTAAGCGTATATTTCTAAGAAGGTTATTCAATATTGTGCAATCAGAGACGAACAGACTGTAAAAGAAAGAGAGATAATGGAATCAATCTGACAGCTGGAATGGTTTCAAAAGGCGAAATTAGACATATATATATTTGGAACACCTTCCAACGTGATGTCTGTCTACTTGTCCACTCGTGGCTTTGACGTGACAGATGCAAATCTCGTTAACGTCTGCGTTCTATCATCGATGAGAGCAGAGGCTCGGCTCTCGAGCCCCTATTAATAGCTGCAAATAACAAATGCTTAATATCGATCGCACCTAAAACGAGCCAAATCGATATTTCACGAATATTCACTCAGGATATTTAGATAGAAGAAATAGTTACAAACTATTTACTATGTGTGTCAAGCTCGAAAATATCTAGACGATTTTGCTGAAGTATCTAAAAATTTAGCTAGAGACTGATCTAAAAATAATTTTGTACTTTATTAAAATAATTATAGGATATAATAGAACGCTTAAACTGCTTGTTAGAATAGAAAAATTTTTGCAGCACTATTTATTATGCTTGAGCTTCTTACATAATTATTTTGATGGCATAAGCAAATTATTTTCAGTATTTAGCTAAATTTTTATATATTTCAGCAACGCCATTCTTTCCAAATAGGTAAATCATGAAGCTATGCTAACTGATGAGATCGGTGAAAAAATTTAGCTAAATCATGATTATCGTTATTATTTATGCTATTGTCTATAAAAAATTGAAAAATATATAATACGTTGTATCTTAAAGGGCTTGATATGTTGAAATTCGCCACTGTTCGTAAAACAACGAAGTAAGATATGTAATGAAATAATAATCATAATACTAATTATACTATATAGTTTGTTATGCCCCTACGCGAGTAATTGTACATGAAAAATACAATTGAAAAGATGTAATTTGCACTCCTCTAAAAACGAAACGAAATACAAATTTAGATATTTGGACAATCGCCTAATAACAGAATACGTTGTCACGTCTACGGCCAAATGGTAAAGACAAGCGATTGTTCTTGTCAAACGAATTGTCGGAAGCACGCGAATAACTTTTAATTCGCCGCGGTATCAGCTGATACCGCCCCTCTGATATTTTCTTTTACTTACGGAACATTGACCTGTCTCTCGACAAATTATGTAACTTCATCTGTCTGCTTAAATCGTAAATATATTGCGATGACTTACCGAAGCATTCTATCGGCAAACAGCCAAAAGTCTCGCAAGACATACAAAACGCGAGTTGGACATCCAAAACCTTGAAGTCTCCTATATGATAAATTATTCTTAAATAATCGCCATCATTGAATGAGTTGTTTTCACATACTATAACTCTGGTTGTTGTTTTATCATAAATATTATTTACTGCAATGCAGACAATAGAAATAGCATTATTGATAAACTAAAGTATAAGAGAGTAAACAGAATCAATTTATATAAACCATTTTTATAAATTTATTATTTTAGAATTCAAGAAAAAATCAAGAACAGATAGAACATATAGAAGCATATTTTTTGCAGAAAATATTTTTATGAAAGAATGACATTGTAACTTTTCTGACAAATACGTGATATAAAATAAGTGCTTTTTATCTTCGATGTACTGAGGTGAGTCATTGTTGTGACAAATCATTTTCAAATTATTATGTCACTTGAATAAAATGTTTTCAAATAACTGTTGTTGTTTTATCATTACTATTACAAATAGTATTATGTATAAATTAAGATACGTAAACAGAATTTTATAACAATATTTTGATAAATTCATTATGTTTTAGAATTCAAGAAAAAATTAAGAAGCAAAACTTTTTGTGGAAGAGACTTTCATCGAAAAATGACTTCGTAATTTTTCTGACAAATACGTGGTAGATAAAAATATACCAGCTTATTATCTTTGATGTACTGTGAATCACCATTTACTCAAAGCTGGTCCCACTTTATATAGGTATATATGTATAATCGATATAATAAACGTCGAATTCAAGTTTACACGAGTATCTTTAGCTTATATGTACTAATACAAATAACCGAAGAAATTTTACTTAAGAAAAATAATTATTACATTAAGCAATCTACTCTTTGATCCTCGAAATATTCTTTCGGAAAAATAAACTGAAAAATACTAGAAACCCCCTAATAATAAAATTCACAGCGCTGTTATTATCTGTAAAACATGTATATCACAATCTCAATATATTAAACGTTGCAAAACGTGACTTTAATTGAGATACCTCCGTCGAGATCGTGAAATTAATTCCACCGACCGTTGCCCCGTGCAATCACTCGACAAGCATGCACCGGTGATTAACTGTGTCGCCAGTATCTCTCACGATTAATCATCCTTCGTATCGTACGTAGCACGCGGGGAGATTATCGTCGGCAGACAGAGCGGCTTTTCGACAGGTTAATTTTCCGAACGACGACTACGTGCAATGCGATACTTTTTCAATAATTTATCGATTTCCTCAATTTGTTCGTGGCATGCACGTTATATAATTTTACTCGACATGGCTTTTGCAATCCACGCACGATCGCCTCGCGCATGGGAAAGACAGAGAGGCTATTAGCAGCGAAAGTAATTTAATCGTGAAATAGCCGCTCGCGGCTAGACTTCTCGGCGTAACTCTCTGCTAAAAATTGCACTATTCGTACTGAGCGTAAAAACGATTAAATTGTTACTTTCGTGACTGGTTTTCGTGAAAATCTTGAAAATGAAAAAAATATATAAGTTGTGTGCGTATAGCGAGTGCGCGAAATTAGCTTCCGATTTGTCCACGAAATTACAGCAGTAACGTAACTTTCTAATATTGTGAAAATCCAGTTGATGCTAAAATCACGTTTAATAATTCTCGGTAATTAAATATAATTATTGAGTGCGCAGCTGTTGCATTTCTTGAGAAAATTAGTTTTTCTCTATATGTTTCTCACAGTCTCATGTCTTATTTTAATAACATGACGTGACATCAAAGTCACGCAAAAATTGATTTATTTGCAAATGGCAAATCAACATATTCTTATATACAATACAAATACACATATACAACTTGTATATATGAATCTAGGTTATTCAGTTTCACGTTGATTTCAAATTATGTATCTCGTCTGACTCCACAGTTTGTCTCACTTTTACACACTTTGAAACTATTTCTCGCTAATAGTCAATACAGTTTCTGTTGTTGATGTTCCTGCGGTACAGTAACGCGGAAGCGAGAGAAAACAGTCTCGTGACCCACTGTTTTGAAATTGAAATGGATTCCGCGTAACCGACATTACCGTCCTACGATTTCAAAAGTAGAATACCCGAATTAGGCAGGGACGATCTCGACTGGCCTTCGTCCAGGTGAATTTCTTTGACCATGGACCTGGCACTGACATACAATTGTGAGGTGGCATTTATTTTCGAATGGCCTTAAGAATATCCAAATTATCAATTTCGCAAACAAAGAATACAAACTTTTACATCTTGAGGTAAAAATATGAGTGAAATAAAAGAACAAAATAAAATAGATTAAACTCTATAAAAATATAATATAAATAAATTCTAAAAAGGTTCTGACGATAAAGATCGAAGAATAATGTATGTATTTATTACACGAGTCATTGTCTTAAAAAATCGAATTTCGAAAAACTTGATACCGAATTAACGTACAATTTAATATAACTAAGAACGAATTTCAAAACATCATCGAATATTTATCTTGTTTTAAATTAGACTCTTAATTTAGCACTAAATGTATCTTAACAGTATACTTCAAAATTTTTATAACGACTTTTTTAGTTTTTATGATGGTGTGTATTGTACATGTTGTACACCTTCAGACCATGGTCTGATTCACACTCATGACGTTCGTGAACATCATTTATCCTTGTTTAATATTTAATGACAACAAGGATGAAATGATGATAGCAGTAATGAGCATGAATCGTAACCTTAGTGGCCAATAACAGACAATGAATTTTAAGACTCTGGCATTATCGAATATTTAGGCTCTTTTACCTTTTTTTTGTTTTTTTCTTTATTTCAAGAATTAACATTTTATATTCTATATTCGCAAAATTAAATAAACAGTAAAACATTTAATCAAAGTACATATATCAATTGCGTCACCCGCAGAAATAATATTAATTCAGTTTGAACGATTCTCCATATTGTTTTTTTTTTCTTTACGAAGA